CCCATGTCCCACTTCTATTATTCACATAAAGGAAACATATACCGTACCAAGTGGTAAAAAGTAAATTTGTTGGCTTAATTTGGTTCTTCAATCTGACATTTTCAATAAATAGTTTTCCTTGAGTTATCCAAACATTTCACCCTTATTGGTGAAAACATAACTCCTACTGAAATTAATTTTCAAGCTTCTTTGTGACATACTAGGCTAACCTTTGCTCCTCTTCTCTATAAGAAAGTGTTTTTGTCATTTTTAAAAAAAGATGTCACTGTAGTCCTAATATGTGTGGGTATATATTAGACATTGACAGTGACTTTTCTCTGTTGTGTTTGGGTACATAATCATTGAATGGAACTATTTCTCAGCTGGAGATTAGCTACAATTGTTTCATCCATCTGAAAAAAAATGTGACTCATCTATAGAGATTAATTATGTGTACATAAAGGAAGAAGGAAAACGTGTTAGGTTGCTATAGTAAGAAAAAAGAGATTAGATCCCATTTATAATTTCACAGCTCTTTTCATTTACTCACAAATACTTCCTAGGCTTTCAGAATAGATTCCAATACTTGACTAATTCATTTAATATAATTTTCACTGTATTAATACAGGATAGTATAGAAGTTAATGAAACCAGTTTATAAAGTCAGATCTTGTTATTTCCTACATGTGCCTAAAAATTCTCTTATAATTTATTTCACAAACTATAAAATGGCTTCTCTAGCAAACCAAATCTGAAGCTCTGAAAATGATCTCTGATATTTATTAGGACTCAGTTCGAGTGGGATATGAGCTAAGAACACACCTTAGTGACAACAAAGGTGAATAATTAGAAAATCCATTAATGAATTCAATTTGTCTTGCAAAACACAACTTAGGAAAATGTTGGGGTTATTGTTGTTGATCTGGTTAAGCCCTTTTCCAAGAACTTCCGTATTATCCATGTGTAAACACAATGTTTTAAAAGGAACTAGAGAAAACTTTCATATGCTCCTGGAAAAGCCATGAGAGATTCAATATACAAAAGAAGTATTCCTCCTACGTGATATAAAGAAAAGAAAGAAAACAGCGCTAAATTGTTACACTAAGAATGAGGATAGTTGTTTCTGTTTTATCATCTCATAAGGAGGAACAAATACATTCACACTAAAAGTTATGGAAGAGGGTGAGTGGGGTGGGGGTGGGCAACGGCAGAAATAACTCATATAATGGATTCTTTTTCTGGTCTAGAATAGGATGCCCCAAGTGTCATAGATTCGTCCTCCAGTCACATGCACCCTCCTAAATCACTTTACCAGTAACATTATGTTTGTTCCTCTTTCTATCTGGTTACACTTTTTCCCCCCCTCAGTCTTTGCCTCCTCTGTCCTTTGTCTTTAATTTTATCCCTATTCTGGCAGTCCTGTTTCATAATGAACATAAGGAATGAAACAGTCAATGAGAAAGTAAATCGCCACACAAACATCTACCCTCACCTGGGATATTTTGTCTAAGTAATTGGTCTGGCCCTCTATAATCCATTCTTCTCACACTAGCCAGAGAGGTATCATTAAAACATAACTCAGACCATGTCACTTTACAACTTAGAACCCTCCAAATCTTCCCACTGGACTTAGAACAAAAACCAAACTCCTGATCACTACCGGCATCATGAGCCTGCACTCACTCCACTATAAACCCTTTTTTTCTTCTCCTGAAGGACAGCGAACTCATTCCTGCTTTAGGACCTTATGCTCTTCCCTCTGCCCCATACATGTGGTATCCCATTGGTATCTGCATTCAGATCTCAGCTTAAATGCCATGTCCCCAGAGAAGTCTTCCCTTAGTAACCCAATACTTCTCCACTGATGCTATGTTCCATACTTCTCATCTGTACCTTCTGCTGGAACATACGCTTTGGGAGAACAGGGCCCTGAATCCCCTGAATTTGGAACAACTCCTGGCGCATGGCAGGTGTTTCATAAATATTTGTTAAAAAAAAATCAAGGCTGCAAATTTCTTTGTTAAATAAAATGATTATACTGCTCTCTTTTCAAAATAATCTGGGATTCTTTCATTTTCTTGTGGATGTTTGTAGGGAGAAAGACAGCTCAATTATTATGCAAGCCCATTTCCCTTTAATGTTACATGACATTGGTTTTGCCTTTGTTTCTCCAAATTGGCTTCACTCTATCTGCTACATAATTTAATCTAATTTCTCATTGTGCCTGCTTATTCAACTTGAGTTGAACATTTTCATGCACTGGGTAGTATATCCATATGTCTACTTCATATTTTGTCTGTTTACTTCGTTTGTATGTCTTCAAAACAAATGTGTGGGCACTTAATCATCTGTTTCTACTTTCATGCAGCATTGGTGTAGACACTACTGTGGCTCGTACAACATAAATCAAGGCATCTTCTGATTAGAAAATCTGACATAAAATACAAAAATATTTCTTTGGTCAGAATTATTTATAGAGCTGTGGCTATTGTTTTGCAAAACACACCAAATGCTTCCACAGCTGCAGAGAAGAAAGAAAATGATTAAAGGATTTCATGGAGTTTTATTTTTTACTTTTTTGGAGGGGCTTGATTGGGGACCAGTAAGTTTGTACTTTAGTTCATTTTGTTTAAAAAAAGAAAGAAAGAAAGAAAGAAAAAAGGTCAGAGAGTTCTTCAGTGTATTCAACCATGACAGCAAAAAACAAAGGAACTGGGAAACGCAGTTTTCCATTACAGAGGTTGGCACATTCAGGGAGAAACACAGCCAGTATTTTTTCTCATGAATTTTTAATACTTGAACACAGGGATCAAACGTGACTTCTGCTTTACTCTGTGTTCACATATAAGATGGAGATCAATAAATCATAGGAAAGCTCACTTTGATAAGACTCAGACTAAGAATTTGAGAGCACAGACCTTCGAAGTTCTGTGGATCACAGAATTACTGGTTAGTTTGTAGAATCTTTCCAGTTCATCCCTTTTATAGCACAACTCCAAAAAATTCTTCAACCACATGAGACTAAAATCCATCGATTCTACAATCGCTCACTGACCCTTGCTCCTTCCAGCACTCCTCTCCTCCTTGCCCAGTCTTTCAAATTCCAGGGTCAATCACTATAATCTCTCCTTCACATGCATCCTCAACTCCTTAGTCCCTCTTTCAACCACTCATCCTTTCTTGGCAAAATACCAATCCTGGTTAAATCCCATTCTCTCTACTCAGACCTTAAATCTAGGCAAATAAATGGGGCTGAAACACACACACACACACACACACACACAACCAAAAGGGCTTGTGACCAAGACACACTTAGTATTTTCCTCATTTTGAGTAAACTTTAAACAGGCTTCTCTCTGGTACTCTGGGCTCCTGATCTCCCTTTTCTTGGAGCATTTACTTTAGAAAGTTTTCAACTGTAAAATTTTTTAATTTTAGTATTGTCAGTTACAGTGTGTCAGTTTCTAGTGTACAGGTTAATGTTTCAGTCATACATATACATATTCCTTTTCATAGTCTTTTCTGTTATAGGTTACTACACGATATTAAATATAGCTCCCTGTGCTATAGAGTAGAAACTTGTTTCAACTGTAAATTCTTCATATGCCAGTTTGAGATGCAAATCTTCTTCCAGGCTATTACCTGTTTTATAGCTCAGGAATGACCTTCTCAAGGACCCAGGAGCCATTCCTTAGAAACATAATGGTAGAAGGTAGTGCCTCTATCGCCCAGTCTCTGTGGGAGGGACAGGAGCCCAGCTTCCAGAAGGGACCTCATCACATCGACCAACCTCCTCCCCACCAGGGTGCCCTTCCTGGAGTACTTCTCCACTAGCTCACTACATTGCTTAAAAATCCACCCATGTTTTGTCCCAGCAAAGTTCAGTTTGATTTCTCTTTCCTATTATACATCTTGAATATACGCTTTTTGCCTGTTTGAGATTTGAGATTGTTAACATCAAACAGGGCTTAAATGATGCCCGGCCACACTGTTTTCGTAGTCCGTTCACTCCTCCATTGTTCTCATACATTCTCCCCTGTCTCCAAACCTCTACCCCATCCTCGTTCTCAGTTGACCCTGTTTCCTAGATCACTGAGAAGACATAAGGTATCAGAACACGTTTTCCACAGTGCCAACCAACCCAACTACCTCCCTGCCTGCATGTGTGCCCACATACCTCTGGTGCCTTCCCTGTCTTGAGAGGCACCAAAGACCCCATCCTCTTGTGTTTACTCAAGATACTGCTTGTGTAAACCTCCTGTCTCCTGCTTCAATATTTCCTGTGCTCCAGGGGGGAAAAGGGTAGGAAGGGATAAACTGGGAGTTCGAGATTTGCAGATACTAACTACTGCATATAAAATAGATAAATAAGTTTCTACTGTATAGCACAGGGAACTATATTCATATCTTGTAGTAACATATAATGGAAAAGAATATGAGAAGGAATATATGTATGTGTTATGTATGACTGAAACACTATGCTATACACCAAAATTGACACAACATTGTAAACTGACTACACTTCAATAAAATATATATACACACATACATATTTCCTGTGCTTTATACATCCAGAGACAAAGAAGTAATGGTGACACTTTCAGTCAGGCCATACAATTATGTATGTAAAATACACTGATGTGCTAATAAAATACGTATCCAACTGCTAATTCTGTTTTAAGTTTGTTCATCTGAAGCTTCATACTGGCAATTACTATAATTTTGCTTTACTTTGACTGAAATGAGAGAAATATGCCATTTCCCATTCTTGGAAGTCCGAGTAACAAGATGTTTGCCACAGTGAAAAGTTTTCCTTCCTCTAAAGGTAAGTTGATTTGCACATTTTTAACTGTGTATAAATGTTGGAGGTACTGAGCTGCTTTTTATTTGAAGCCAAACATACAGCTCATCTCAAAGCTTAAAAAAATTTAAAAGGTTTCTCTGCAGTTTGTGACTTGTCATTACACAGCTGGGATGGGCTAAGTCCCATCTCAAAAAGTTCAAGGGCTAAAAACAATTACCTCTTCAAGGACGTCAGCAAGCTTACTGAGGATCTCTTCAGGAAGGCTCTGGAATGTTGGAACGCTGAAAAACAAAACCGAGATGATGCTGAAGGCGTACACAGCAACTCACTTTCATAAATAAAACAGCAATGTATCTGAAAATGCAAATGCATTTCATGACAAAGAATCTGCAGATGAAGATCAAAGCAATAACTTCAGCATAACTTGAGGACCAATAGGAAGAGGCATGTTGTACTAAAAAGAATTGGAGATTGGAAAGAACCAAGTTCAAATCCCATGTATATTTCATGTGTGGCCTCAGATGCCTTGGCTATAATAGGGAGAAAACCACTCTTTCCCTTGTCAGCCAGCTGTCACCAGATTCCTTCACCCTCTTTAGTTCCTACACACACACACTACTTTCTACAAGCCAACTGCTACCCATTCTTTAGGACACAGCTGGACTGATGACACGTTCAGCCCTGCAAGCATTCATTCAACAACACTGGGAGCTGCCTACTCTCCCAGCCTCTCCCCAGCTAGGCCAGGTCCTCCTATTATGACCTCTTTGATCCCTTCCTGCAACTGTAATTAGATAATTAATCAGATATTTGTTACTGGGAATCTTCACTGCTAAAATCAAACTCCACAAAAATAAGAACTGTATCTGTCTTGTTCAACCTCTGCCTTTTCAGTGGTTTACTAATGACAACTCAAGAGCATGTGTTGAATAAAGTTATAGAAGTATGGACATATTAATGCTTCCCAGGATAGTCACAGGAATCAGATCAGACAGAATGGAGAAAAGAGCCAGGCTCAACATAGACACTGCACACTGTCTTCTTGTCCTCTTACTTTCCCTTACTGACCAGCAAGTGGAAATAGTGAATGATGTTGAATATACAAACCAACAAAACTTACTTTATATGGATAATGGTAATATCTTTAAAAGAGAAAAAACACTCATCAACATATAATTCTTGAAACTCCGTTCCAATGGAATCTCTAACTGGGATGTGGAACTAAATTCTCATTTAATCATATCTCAATGCTCAAGGACTATAAAGGAGTGTGCAAACATCTGTAGGTACGATACGTGACTTACAGAATAGTTCTGGCTTGATTAGAATGATACAATGAAAGAAGCCATAACATACGGCTTGGATACAAGCATGAAAGTTGAACTGTTAATTTGTCACTCTGTTTCCCATTACTTGGTGTAAAGCCTATTGGTAAAATCCTCAGGTTTTATGCAGAGGTGTAAACAATTCACCCAGGACCATCTGTTCTACCAGATTTACTGCTGTGGTCTGAGCTATGTGGGCTTTCATTTCCAGAAGGCAGTCCATTTCAGCAGCTGGATGGAGTGTCACAGGAAGAGACGGGAAGCTAGAGGAAGCGGTTCCCATGAGTTATGCAGGTTGACAAATCTAGCCCTTCCTTGTTCTTTTAATGAGCTATATTTCAGTTTCTCCTGAGATATAAGAATAATTAGAATGTTTCTATCCCAGTGGGTATTTATGGAAAACAAACTACAACTGAGTTTTTCTCATTCTATTATAATTGGCTCCTTCTTTAGACAGCCCTGCTATGCTAAGTCTATGTCAAGCCATTCTACAATACTTGCATTTTTCATGAGCATTTTTATCCATGAGAAAAAATTTATATTGACTTGACATATAATATAACACACTAAATGAAACACACTGGATGAAGGCAAAAGCATTAAGTTTTAGGAGGGCATGTGACAAAACTATCTTCTACAATTTCACTTATTTTTTATTTTTTCAACTTTATTGAGGTATAACTGACAAAACTGTAGCACATTTAAAGGGTACATTGTGAAAAGATTCCTCCCATCCAGTTAATCTAGTTAATTAACACATCAATCACTTCACATATTTATTCTTGTGTATGTTCGAGACATTTAAGTTCTACTCTCTGAGCAAATTTCAATTACACAATACAGTGTTATCAACAATAGTCACCATGTTTACGTTAGATCTTCAGACCTTACTCATCTAATAGCTGAAAATTTGTAACCTATTTCCCCTACTCCCCAGCCCCTGGCAAACACTTTTCTACTGTTTCTATAAGTTTAGCTTTTTATTTAGATTTCACACGTAAGTGATGCCATGCAGTTATTTGTCTTTCTCTGTCTGGCTTATTTCACTTAGCATAATGCCCTCCAGATTCACCCATGTTGCTGAAAATACAAACAGCAAGATTTCCTGCTTTCTAGTATATTATTGTATATTACAATATATAAATATAAATATTATTGTATATATATATATATATAAAATGATCTTTTCCAATTTTAAATGCCTCAAAATATTCAGCAGCATTTTTACTAATACAAATTAAGGATGATTTTTAAGAAGAAACACTAAAAGAATTAACAACAATTTAAGCACTTCTAGATCTAACAAAACGGAAATCAATTTACAGAAAAGTAAGTGTCTTCACTTTCCTAAACTACACTGAAAACACTTTTGTAGCCATCTTTAAAATCCCAAGATCTCTGTTTCCTCCAAACCCTAGATAAGTCCTCTCTCGTAATTAATTTCTGAGAATTATCGGTCTACTGATAGCTTGAACACCAAGAACAAAACAAGCTAATGACATCCATAATTTCAAATTCTACCCATGAAATACGTTGGTTGAATTTTTCCAAATACATCAAAAGACATTATTTTAGGCTTCACTAGTTTGCATATATGATAACTCAAGATGAATTGTCTATAATTTAGAAAACTTAAGGCAAAATAATTGCAAGGATGAACTTTCATAAAATGTTTAGACAGTAGAGAAGAATATTTTCACTTATGTAAAAAAATTACAATTTTGCATGCTAATTAAAAGCAATTCTTAAAGATTATTAAAATATTTTTGTTCACTATAGACTTGCAATAGATCTGAAGTTACAAATGCTCTTGAATGCAATAAAATAGGGATGATTTAATGCGTGGAGATTTT